TAGATAGATAGATAGATAGATAGACAGATAGACAGACAGATAGACAGACAGACAGGAGATTATAAAGACAGACAGACAGATAGACAGACAGACAGACAGATAGACAGAAAGACAGACAGACAGGAGATTATAGATATACATGATCATTACTGCCAATCAATAATTCTAGGTAAAGGAGACATCACTGCTGAGGAAGACACTATGCCATTATTCAAATGTTTGGACTCTGGTTCAGCAAATACACACCACTGACCTCTCATGTCACTGATGTGTGGATGGAGTTCTGCATAGCTAGTCTCCAGGGCTGGAGATATGCTGTGGTTGTAGCTGCAAGGGGGACCAGGTGGAGCCAACCCTGTTCAATTCAGAACTGAATTCCAATGTGTGTGTGTGGTGGGAGGATGTTCTCCCATACTCTACACCTAGTGATTCTTGAACACCAGCTGCGGGGTGAGAATTCAATTCAAGGCCAGGCAGAAGCCCCAAGCTGTTGTCAATGCTTCTAATCAACAAGCTATAGACTGGAGGTTCCAAGACCTCCCCCTTATGTTTAATAATTTGCTAGCGTGGCTCACAGAACTCAGAAATTCCTAATGCTTAACGTTTACCAGTTTACTAAAGGGTACTATAAAGGATGGAAATTAACAGCCAGATGAAGAGATACAGAGAGCAGGGTCCCAGATAAAGGAGCTTCTATGCTCGTGGAGCTTTGGACCTGGCTTAGTGGCACTTAGAAGTGTTCTGGTTCCCCAAGCATGGAAGCTGTCTCAGACAGGGAGGCAGGATGCAAAAAATAGCAAAATGCTCTTAGGGTTTTTGTGAAGGCTTCATTGCATAGTCAGGATTAACTAAATTACTGGCTATGGGCTGATTCAACCTCTAGCTCCAGCCCCGCTATCCTCTCCCCTTCCGGGGGTTGGGGCCTGGAGGCTGAGAGTTCCCACCCTCTAATCACTGGGGTCGTCCTCCTAACAACCAGCCTTGCCCTTGGGTGGGCTCTAAAACAGTCTCATTAACATAACAAGACACCCATTTGACCTTTACAGCTCTGAAGCATTTTTTTTTTCTCCAGAACTGGATGAAGACCAAATCTGAGGAAAATATTTTGGTCATTTGAGGACTGTATATATATATATATCTTATAAATCATTGTATCACTGGCAAAGCCTCACAGGCAAATAGCTTCTGAACCAGGGCTGATTCTGCAGGACTCTGGGGCTGGGGTAGAAAGCAGCCTTAGCCTGCTGTTCTGTTCGGCCAGACTGTGGGCTCCAGGACAGGCACTCAGCCTTGTCCTCTGCTGAACGGCCTGCCCGACACCCACCAAATGCTTGCTGAATGAGAGGAGGCGCCACGGCCAGGAGGAGGACACAGTATCTTCCTCAGCCCCATGCTAAGACCCTGATCTCTTTTTCGGTTGTGACTGGGATGTTCATCACTGAAGTAAGGGAAGAAAAGCGCGGGAGCGGGGTGTGAGCACAAGGCCAGCGGCCCCAGCTTGTGAGTTCCTCACTGCCGAGTGCTAGGTGGGGGGGTTGTGGAGTGGGGATGAGGAGGAGGTGCTTGTCAGGTGTTGAGCTTGGTACAGAGATTTCTAATCTTGGTACAGTGCCTCTGGAGGGTTAGAAGGGAAGCCACCTGGGTAGCCTTCCTGCTGCTTCATGGCTTGAGGCTGTGCTCATCCCTGTGGGTCCCTGAGGGAACTCCAGAGGCCCAAGTCATAGTCCTATGGGGCAGGGCAGGGAACCACAGAGGTGGTGTGCCAGATACCACGATTTACTCCTCACCGGGCTGGCCCTTGAGGTGGGCAGGATGCACCTTCTAAAGGTGAAGAATTGAGGGAGACTTTAAAGGAGAAGTTAAGGCACCAGTGAGGGCCATAGCTCACAGTGACAGATCTGGGATTCCTGCCCTGGTTTGTGTGATCCCCAACACGGGAGGGGGCTCTGTCTCAGGGTCCCTTACCTGTCGGCTTTTAAAGAAAAACAACTTACTTTAACCCTTTGAAGAAAAGCATTGTATTTGCTTTTTAACTTACGAGAGTATTGCAGGCTTGTTGAGAAGAAGATAAAAGGGCACACAGCACCTAATGCAGACCCTCTCCACCCATTCCTGCTCCTCTGAGTTAGCCCCTCCAGTTGTGATGTACTACTCAACTATATAGTGTACTATGTACCCCAGTCTTTTGTGTATATACTCTTCTAGTGTCTTCTATGATACATAGTGATTTTTAAACAATGGGATCCCAATTTGTCAGGAATGTAACTCCCTGTAGGTATACACAGACCTGCCTTATCCTTTTTAATGACTACGGAGCATTCCACAGTACGGCTCTATCACAGTTTACATAACCAATTCCCTACAGAGGGGCGCTTTCCAATGTTTTGCTTGTATGAGCAGTGCTGCAGTAAATAAATGTGGAAATCTCTGGGCACACTGAGCAAGTATCTACATGGGACACATTCCTTGGAGGGGAACTGCAGGGCCAAAGGAATGCACACCACAAAGTGCTGGCTGCGCTGCCAAACTGCCCTTCCATTCTCAGTTGGCTGAAAGACCACGTCCTCATCCTCTGGCAGACAGGGTCCTCTCTGCCAATCCAACAGGCAAAGTGACATCTCATCTGAAGATACCTTCTTTGATTGGTGAGTAGGCTGAAAAATATTTCATGTTTTCTGGCCACTTATATTTGTCCTACCATGAACTGCCTGTTTTTCTATTTTTCTGTTGGGTGGCTTGTCTTGTGGAAATTGTGGGAACTTTTTATACACTATGGCTTATCACATAATGATTATGTTAAACAAACCTATCCTGTTTCAATTACTGAACATGGAAGTCTTTCTACCCCTGCATCATCCATTTATTGATAAACAGAACCTATTAAACACCAGATCATACACAGCACTTAACGCTGGTTAGGCAAATTCTCCCTCCCATCTCCTTAGGTGTCCTAAAATCCCACTGATAAGGCTCGAGATGCCCACGTCCTCATGCCTGTGTGCCCAGGCATCCCACTCTGGTCTGCACATGAACAGCAGTACCACTTGGGGATATGGTCTCCAAAAGTATGTTTAGAGAACCCTAGGACAGGACATTACCCTGCAGGTAACTTGTGTGTGTATGTGTCCAGATGTGGGGATGGGGTGGGCAAGGCAGGCAGTGAGGCCACAAACCTGATAGCCCTCTCTTCCCCTTTTACCCTCCCTTGGTGTGCTCAGTGACATCCCTTGCTCATCCTCGGCCCTCAGTGTCTTCCCTCTGCTTCCTAACCCTCCTCATTCATCTCAAGTTCAGAATAGTATATGTTACTAGCACTGAGTGACAGCACTCCTGTTTAGCTGTTCTTCTCTTCCAAGAAAGGCTGGGCCTCCAAAGCCATCCCAGCCACCAGCCAACCAACAGGGAGTAGGCTGCCCTGGGGGGCTGGGGATACCTTCTCTTGGGCCCTGAAATCACACCAAGCCTATTTTGGTCATTCCTGTGTGTCTGGGTGGGATCAGGGATACTGGAAGTTGGCTCATCCCTCACCCTACCCTATCATATACCCTGAAGAGAAAACAACCAGCTCTACAAAATCCCAGGACTTGCTCTGCAGGTTAAAAGAAGTTGGCTCAAGGGTTCAGGTCATTTTTAGTTGCAGGCCTGGGCAGAAACCTGTCCTATCTCAACAGCCCCCGCCCTCCTGGACTCTGAGACCACCCACCTCCTCCCCATGCAGACTTAGGGATCCAGAATCCATCCCCATGGGACAGGACTGCTCCTCTGTCCTGAATCACCAGCTGGGGCCAGGATTTCCTTCAGCTGAAACCAGCAGCAAGCCCAAGATGCCCCCTCCGGGCAGTACATCCTCTCAGGACCCTGAGTTCCCTCTGAAGGAAGAGAACAAGCATCAGCTGGATGTGCTTAGGGGGAGTGTGAAGGAGAGAAGCTGCGGTGGGGAGTCAGGCACGGGGAAGGGGCATCAGCAGCAGGGAAAGCCAGGGGCCACGGAGTGGATTCTGGGGCCCTGGAAGGTGGACATGACATGATGATATGAAGATGGTGATAGAACAGCACAGAGTACCAGGGAAAAATGTGTACAGTACTGCTGACGGGGGAAAGAAAGGGCAACCAATAGGACAAGAGAAGCTAAAAACTGGCTGCACAGAAGTAATATTAATTACAGTCATTCATACTAACTGCTTAGCATTTATGCCTTATTACAATGTAGCTCGATGATGTATATAATTAGCACCAGATCAACTGAGTTGTGTGTTGATTGATCAAAGAATCACAGGTTATAGCTGATTTTCCTAGGGTGTATTGATGCCGACTGATCCTGGATCCCTCTTGGTAGTAGTGATGGGAATAATAATGATGATGATGTGAACTAGAAACATTAACTCATTTGTCACAGAAAGCCCATGTCCACACACCCACATGTCCATCTACCCACTTATCAAAGCCACAAGGCTGGGGTCAACTGAGACTCCCCACCATCTCTCACCCTGCTCCAGGCTTGCAAACTTGGCTGTACACTGGGATCAATGGGCAGTTTTTAAAAATACGAATGTCTGGGCCCATTCCCAGAGATTCTCACTGGATGGTGTGGGAAGCAGTGTGAGCACTGGGATCTTTAATTCCCCTAGTGAATGTAATCTGCAGCCAAGCTTAAGAACTCCTGCACCACAAAGCAACTTCAGCTGATAGTGGATCATCCCTCTAATCATTCCTTTCCACCAGGCCTTCATCTTCCCTTGTTTGGACTGACACAATAACCTCTTAGCTGGTCTCCTAAAGGCAGTTTGGAAATTCAGACCTACAATCCTGGTCTGTTTTACAGAAAGAAGTGGTACAACTTGCTCAAGGTCCTGCAGCTGATGAGCAACAGGGCAGGGCTGTGAACCTAGGCTGTCTGGCTCCTTCTTAACCACTCTGCTACTCTGCACCCCCATGACACTGTTTGGCCAGTTCCCATCACCCCACTTTCCAACCAAGTCCCCTGTAGGCTCCCTCCTCACCTGTATAGCTGCTGGAAGGAAGCGCATGCTCTGGTCCCCCATTGAGCTCTGGGGCTCTTTCTGCCTCTGCCACTTCCTCTTTCTCCTCCTCTTCCCAGATCTCAGGGGCTTCCTCCGGTGGCTGCTCCATGGCTGATTTCCCCTCGGCACCACGCCTACAAGCCCGCTCATAGCTCTGGCATCATCTGTGTCTGAACGCAGATGGACCTCTACAGGGCAGTTCCTGTCAGCCTGGGCAAAGGGGCAGACAGGAAGAGGTTGGGGGATAGGAGTTAGGCATGTTCAAGGGCTGCCATCTGGAGGGACAGGATGGAGTATGGGACTCTTCTGAGTAGGAATGTCTCCTCCCTACAGGAGTGGGTTCTATCCTTCCCATGTCTGGATGTGGGAAAGAAGACACAAGCCCCTGCTGTTGGGCTTACAGCTGACAGCAGATCTGCAACTAGCCCCTCGATGACATAGCCATCAGGCAAGGGAGATGCACTCTGTCCTGGAATCCTTCCAAGGTGCACTACTGTGCAGTGACCCTATGTCCAAATCACCCAGGAGAAGGCAGTTGCAACCCTCAGCAAAGAAAATACTATCCATAAATGCCACAGTCAGAGGTGGTAAGATCATGAGGTGTTGTGGGACATAGTCATCCCAGCAGGGAATAGCAGAGAGATGCCTTGAGAGTGGGAAAGATTTTGAGCAGAGATGGCATGGAACTGGTCTTGCGGATACAGAATGAGAGAAGACTCAGAGGCAGCACAGTGGGGAGTGGCAAGGAGTCCTGCTGGCTAGGGAGCAGGTGCTGCAGAAGGGATCTGGAGGGCTGGCAGTGAGGGTGAGCTATATCCAGGCATGTGCGCTTCAGCTGTCCTGGCACTGGGAGTGTAACTGGACTCACTGAGCGCAGTCCAGCCCTGGTGGAAGGATGAGGAGCATAAAAGACCTGCGTTAGGGAGACTGCCTATCTTGGATGTCCAAGAGAAGGCAGTTCAAACTCAACTTATCTGAACAGAACACACCATCTTCCCCTAAACCTGCCCATCCTCTGGCAGTCCCTACTTCAGTGACCCACATGTCCATCTACCCACTTATCAAAGCCAGAAGGCTGGGGTCAACTGAGACTCCCCACCATCTCTCACCCTGCTCCAGGCTTGCAAACTTGGCTGTACACTGGGATCAATGGGCAGTTTTTAAAAATACGAATGTCTGGGCCCATTCCCAGAGATTCTCACTGGATGGTGTGGGAAGCAGTGTGAGCACTGGGATCTTTAATTCCCCTAGTGAATGTAATCTGCAGCCAAGCTTAAGAACTCCTGCACCACAAAGCAACTTCAGCTGATAGTGGATCATCCCTCTAATCATTCCTTTCCACCAGGCCTTCATCTTCCCTTGTTTGGACTGACACAATAACCTCTTAGCTGGTCTCCTAAAGGCAGTTTGGAAATTCAGCTGTAGAGTTTAAGAGTTGGGGAGTTGGGAATCTGTAGATTGGGTGGGGTGGGGGGCATCCTTGTTGATATGACAGTCACCAAAAGGGATTCGGTTCATGAAGGGAGAGAGTGACATGTCAAGGAAGGGCAGAGGAAGAGGCATCAGAGAAGATAATGGGGCAGAGGCAGGAGAGACTGGAGACAGCTGGGTGTTTAAGAGCCCAGGGAGGGTCGATTTCAGAGGGGCAGGGCCAACTGTCTCAGTGCTGCAGAGTTTAAGGGTAATGAACTGACACAGGATCCCTGGATTTGGTAGCTGTGAGGTCATCTATGACCATGTGATATAAGTTTTGGTTAAATAGTTGGGATAGAAACCTGGGCTCTGAAGAGTAGGTTGTACTGAGGAAGCTAGGACAGTGAACAGAGATTAATTTTTTGGTAAATATGTCAAGGAAAAGAAATGTATAAGAGGATGCTGGCTTGAGAAAGTAGCAAAGCCAGGAAAAGATTTTTTTGGAACAGAGGAGTTGAGTGTAAGCGTGGAAAAAGGAGAGATCTGCAGAGAAGTCTTAAGAAATGTGAAGAAGTCCGAAGACCACAGACAGTCTGAAGATTCAAGGGGGAAGCTGGGGCACAATGACCGATGGGAGGGGAAAAATTCAAGGGCACAGGATGAGGAAACACAAAGAAGTGTAGCAGTTGGGGAGGGTTGGGTTTAAGCTCATATGGAATGGCCTCACTCATTTTAGTTAATAAAACAGGAGGCACAGTTGTCTACACTGAGAGTAAGAGATGGAATGTGAAAAACAGTAAGAAGCTGGGTGAAGGAACTTTGGTAAACATGATAGTGAATTAGCTGGAGAGGAATAAAAAGAATTATAGTAAAGCCACAATAATTAAAACAGAGTGGTACTGGCAAATGAATAGATAATGAAAGAATCAAGAGTCCATAAATAGATGCAAACACATATGGAACTTTAATATGTTATAAAGACAGCACTTCAAATTAAAGGGAAATGATGGATTCTCAATAATTGGTATTGGGACAACTGAGTAGCCATCTGGAAGAACTAAATAACCTGTATCCCTACTTCACACTTTATACCAAGACAAAATTCACATAGATAAAAAACAATTTAAGTTAAAAATACATGAACTATATAAAAATAGTCTTGAGGTGGGGAAGAGCTAAGCATGACACTAAATCCATAAAAGCTTTATTTTATGGTTTAAGAGATTATGATTAAAAGATTAATATATAAAAATATAAAATTTCTACATGGTAAAAAATCATCTAAGAAAAAATACCAGATAATAAACTGTGAAAAATATTTGCAACTCTCACCAAAAGGCTAATTTCCCTCAAATATTTCCTACAAATTAATAGGTAAAAGACTAGCAATCCAACAGAAAAATGGGCATAGGATATGAAAAATGTATATGCTGAAAAGGTACACACTTGGCTCTTAAATGTATGAAAAGAAACTCAACATCATTCATAAAAAAAAAGGAATGCAAACTAAAACAACATCGAAATACATTTCTTATGGTCAGATTAAAACAAATGCTAACATGTTGTTGCTAACCATGTGGGCAAACATAATCTCACACATCCCTGGTGGAAAGGTAAATTGGCACAACCTCTATTAGGGCAATTTAGCTACATTTATCTAAATTACAGGTGCATACACATTTCCTTTGATCCAGCAATACCACTTCTAGGCTGTATCCTGCAGCTATACTTCTACTTAAGCAAAATGACATATGGTATCAGTACAAGGTTCTTCATTACAGTATTATTTGACTGGTAAAATGTGGGGAACAGTTAAATGTCCATTAATAGGGGACTTACTAAATAAATTACGCTACAGTACTGGAATTCTATGCAACCACAAAAAAGAACAATGACATATATGGACTGATACGGAATTATCTCTAAGATATATTAATAAGTGAAGACAATTTGCAGAATGAAGTGAAGAGCTACACCTCATGCAGAAAAGAGACCTTAAAGGAGTAGTTGCTTGTGTATGTCTGAGAACCCTGCAAGGCTACATAAAAACTGGGAACGCTGGTTGCCTCTGGGGAAGGGACTGAGTGTCAAGGTCACTAACGGGAAAGAGTTTGAACCTTATAAATTCTAAACTACAGGCATGTTACCTGTTTAAATTAAAGATAAGTCTAATTGAGTGAAACAAAAAGGGAGAACTTACTAAAAGTAATGTGAAAGATGAAAGGAAGTCATCAGTGTTTAGCTCAAGTCCTTTTATTTTTCAGGAGACAGCTGGAGTTACTGATGAACTTTACAGCTCAGCCACATACACACAAAAATTTCAGAGGTAACCACTAAGATGCCATAAATAGAATGTATGATTTCTAAATTATTACAGTAGAATGGGAAAACTTAAGGAGAAGTCATGTAGTACCCTAGCTCTCTGAATGAGAAAAGTCTCACAGACAGGAGACCGGAGACTTAACAACTATATATATAGTGTAGATGGTAGATTAGATCCTGGAACAGAAAGAGGACAATAGTAGAAAAAACTGGTATGATTCAAATAAAGCTTACTTCCTTTGGTTAACAGTATTGTGCCAGTGTTCATTCTTAGCTTTGGGAAGTGTATGATGTTTATGTAAGATGCTGACAACAGGGGAAGCTGAATGAAGAGTATATGGGAACTCAGCACAATCTCTGCAGTATTTCTGTAACTCCACACTTTTGTTAAAAAAAAACCCAAAGCTTAAAAAAACTTGGTTTCCTGCCTTCTCTTGACAATTGGGCAGACACCTGCATGTCCCCGCCTGAGCAGTGGGCACCCCTTTACTTGGGCATGCACTCAGCACTGCCATCTTCCCCATTACGTCTTGCTGTCACTCTCCAGACACTGCACTCACACTGCATGAGCTGTGCCCTCTAGCAGGGATCTGAGTCGGCTGAGTCTAAGTCAGTGCCTCAGGGATCAATCCCTGTTCATCCCAGAGCATTAAACTTCGGGATCACAGGACCCAGTGCAAGGAAATGCTCAGAGGCTCAGTTCCTGCCCTGCGGCTCTGGGGTCCTAGTTGTCTACCCAGTTCTATTCCCCCTTCTTTCGTCCTGAGTCCCAATTTTCTTTTGATCAGCAACATATCTAGCTAAATACTCAATTTCCCAAACTCTCTTGCAGCTACCATGTTCATGTGACACAACTGTGACCAACAATATGTAAATAGAAATCCATGAGGAGGGTTTTCTGAAAAAACTATTCCTCTTGGATAAAAAGAGACAAAATTTTTATCCTTCCCCACTTCCTCCCTGGAGTAGAAAAACTGTGACTGGAGGTGTAACAGCCACTTTCTGCGCTCGAGAAGACAGGTTAAGAGAGAGGGACAGAAAGTTAGGAGGAGCCCGGTCATCAAGGAGCTACTGAAACAGGCCTGGAATACTTATCTCCAGAATTATTAGGTGAAAAAATTAAACACCTGATTCATTAGGCACTGTCTGCCAGATTTCAGTTGCATGCAGCTAAACACAATCCTGAGTGAACTAGCAGGATGTGAGGCACTCAGTGAAAGAGAAGAGTGAGGCTGTGGGGAGGGGGCTGGTGACAACACTGGAAAAAGGACTTTGGTAATCCTCGTGAGCAGTTTGTGACTGCTGTGGCATAGATTAACTGGCCAAAAAAAATCAACTATTATCCAAATAACAAGGACCAGAGACACTGGTTCTTCATGCTCCACAGCATTGAAAAGTCTGGAAATGGAGGAGGCAGAGGCAGGTAAGAGATGAGAGACCCACAACCAGGCCTATGGCTGCAGTGGCTCCAGGAC